AACTAATATAAGGCTTATGACTATGGTGTTGAGTTAAGAAAAGAAAACACCGGATATTGTATATCACCCCGACCCATCTTCTATTGTCTCAACCCCATCTTTCCTAGCTCAGTGTCACAACCCCCATCTCTCCCAGCCCACCTCCGCAAAGGACAGTCCACACCAACGGCCCGGAAAAGATCAATTATTGATGGGTGCCCATTATCTGCCGTTACTGAGTTTAACACCCAGCCTACGGGACGGGGAAAACAAGTCACTGCTTACGTCTGGCCACTTGGGCGACTTCCGGGTCATTACTGAGACGTGGGCAGACGTTGGACACGCTCGGTGCGGAATGATCCTTTAAGACACGCTCTGCTTTTGGCGAGCACGCCCTTGTGTTGTGAACTCAACCGTCGTGCCTTTGACGCCGAGTTGACCACGTGATGCCACGTGTGGCGTCCGATCCGGTGTCTCGGGCAACGATGTGAACCTCGTGGACGAGACCTCCTCTTCGGCAATAAAGGGATCACGACCAACAGGTCTGCAGGGTCAGGCTTCTCGTTCAGGTCGTCCCACTTTGGTGTTGTGCACCAGGTCAACTTCTGCTCCTCCAATATTATTGGTGGACATTAAGGTCATTGGGGAAACCCTGCAGGCCAGTTCGTGCCACTGTTGGACTGGAGAGTCTAGGTGAGATCCCCAGACATTTAATTATAGATATTTATTAACATTTCAATAAGCATAAAATTAAAATAATCTCTAAACGGCGTTAAATTTACTTTAAAAAAAAAAAAGTCCAAATTGATCACAATATTCGATCATTTTCTATCTATTTTTAACCCATGGGACATAAATCTGGCTTATAATCGGAAGAGCTCGAGTGCGTCCGTTAATTCCAGGCTAGTCCTTCTGTGACATACAATAAATATAGGTTAACATTTGGCATTTGATCAACGGTAAACGTAGTTTTTCATTTGCTTACAATAAATTGTTTCAAGACATGAAGAAATAAAACATATTTTTAAAAATTCCAATAAAAACGAGTAAGATAATATTTTTTTACAAATTTATTAAAATGCATTTCGCAAAGAAAGACTGTGCAGAAGTGTAGATGAGGACTCTGTGTGGCGAAAGGATTCGAATTTAATATTGACCAAACTTGAAATATGTTTTACTTCTATTGTTTTTTGAAAAATCATTCTGCAGAGTTTTTTTGCTTACTGCATTTTAGAGAAATTTAAATTATTTTCTAATTTTTAATGCGTTTAAATACGTATTTGAAAGAAAGTTGTTTAAAAAAAAATTAAAATTATTATACAAGGAATAAGCAGTAACGTATATTATCGACATTCCAATCAATAGTCGTCACAACACACACTCTGTACAAACACACATTCTGTATCAACACACACTCTGTATCAACACACACCCTGTATCAACGCACACCCTGTATCAACGCACACCCTCTGTATCAACACACTTTCTGTATCAACCACTCAGATTAGCAACGGTGAGAGCGTAACTCGAGATTTCCCCATCACTCACCCCCCGTCCCCCGACAGCCTTAGTCACACTGCCGAATGCCCCGCCCCTGGCCCCTTCAAACCAACCTCTCCCCTATCCACCCTTCTCCCACTGTTCACCGGGCGAGCGCTGCACGAGACAGGCGATCGACTGGGCGATAGAGTCGCGTGTGTCAACAAAGAAATTACGATTTCACGACAAGATGGAAATGAGACTAGAAAGAAATTCTTTAAAAAAAAAAAACAACTTATAAAGTATTCCAGAGTTCGATGGTCAATAAACTTTTAAAGTTTTTTAAGACGGATATAGACCACGTCTGCTGGATTAATATAGTAGAATAGGTCAACAAAGTTTAATAGTAAAAAGAATAATTCTATGAAGCAGTTATCAAATACTCGTTCAAAGAGGTGACTGGCATATTGGACAAAATAAATAAGATTCCTCTAATTATTTTCCTTTAAAAATTGAATGATTCCTCTATTGTTTTTATTGAAGTGTTCGTTTATTATAACTATCTATTTATGTGTTACAAAATTATTATTCGTATTTCATCTCTAAATACTCTTTCTAAATATAAATTTTGAGTCATCTCAACTGTGTGCGGCAGAAGTGCCACTGTTAAACTATTAAAATAAACAATAATATAGAACATAACCATTAGGTGATAAGCGTTCCTTTCAATGGCGAAAGGTGTCACCTGACTGTGTCCCCTGGGGGGGGGGGGAGTCACCACACGCCACTGGTGCGTGTACGGATATAGAGTTTTAAGGATACAGTCTCGGGGAACTCATAACAAAGATATTATAGAGGTTTAATATACGGTTTCTTGGATATCATAACAAAGATATTATAGAGGTTTAATATACGGTTTCTTGGATATCATAACAAAGATATTATAGAGGTTTAATATACGGTTTCTTGGATATCATAACAAAGATATTATAGAGGTTTAATATACGGTTTCTTGGATATCATAACAAAGATATTATAGAGGTTTAATATACGGTTTCTTGGATATCATAACAAAGATATTATAGAGGTTTAAGGTACAGTCTCGTCTAACTACTAACAACGATGTGGAATAATGTGAGCTTGTCAAAATCAACCGATTATCAATCTGTAGACATGTTGTCACCAATGGAAGTTCTATTAATCTGTCAATAATCCGATATTTAATCTATAGATTATGTTGCCATAGACTTTGCATCGGATCATCAAGCTCAAACAAAATCAATGAGCCGTTGCGAATCGTACAGATGTATACCTGAAGGGGAGTTGGGATGGGCGGGAAAATTATGGTATATTTATATTTTAAGTAGCATGGTCCTAGCCGCTGTGTAAGTCCGATGTGATGTCTGTTTGAGACAAAGTTGAGTGATTCAACTCAATAAGCCAAGACTCAGAATGTCAATGTACACTCAAGAACTAAACAGCGATTCTAAGCACACACCTTGCACTCATGCACCTAACAGCTATTTGGACAACACTACACCCAAGAATATAACAGCTATTTGGACCACATTACACACAAAAATCTAAGAGCTATTCGGACCACATTACACTCAAGAATCTAATAGCTATTCGGACCACATTACACACAGGAATCTAATAGCTATTCGGACCACAATACACACGAGAATCTAATAGATATTCAGATCACATTACACACAAGAATCTAATAGCTATTCAGACCACATTACACACAAGAATCTAACAGCTATTCGGACCACATTACACACAAGAATCTAACAGCTATTCGGACCACATTACACACAAGAATCTAACAGCTATTCGGACCACATTACACACAAGAATCTAATAGCTATTCAGACCACATTACACACAAGAATCTAACAGCTATTCGGACCACATTACGCACAAGAATCTAATAGCTATTCGGACCACAGAATGATTCACGGAGCGCCTTGCTAAAAACCAATTTTAATGGAGCAACCAAAACTCAGACAAAGATTTCGAAGATTTAAAAAAAAACAAAAAACTAGGTGCAATTTAATTAAAACAATGTTCCATTTATTAGGATCAGTTTGTCTTATCTGATCATAACGACAGGGTGACGGTGTAGGAACTGGATAGCCATTCCGCTTCCCTAAGCACCATGGGAAAATAAGCGTTCATTTGAACCTTTTTCTATCCCCTCTCACCCACACACACAAGCATTACTGCGAGCAGCCGCACACAATTCTTCCTGTTCCCCTTCGTTCATAATTGATCAGCTTAAATCCAATCACTTAATAGTGTTGGGGGTGGGGGTGGGGGTGGGTGTGCTGTGGGTGTGGGGTGCCGTGGGTGTGGGGCGTGGTTGGGGGACGAGGAAGGAAATAGTGGGCTGTTTTTAAGTTTGCGCAAAATGTGAGCCACGCTTATCTCGAAAACCATTTCGAAATGGGGATCTTTGTCTTCTCTTCTTTATTGCTTTATCTTTTTTTTTTTTTTTTTTGTTGTTCTTTTTTGTTTGTTTGACCCAATCGTTTTCAATAGAAATTTGAAACAAAAATAACTAATCCATTCCTTTGTCTTGGTTATTTAAGGAGAGTTTCTCGAAAACCATTTCGAAATGGGGATCTTTGTCTTCTCTTCTTTATTGCTTTATCTTTTTTTTTTTTTTTTGTTGTTCTTTTTTGTTTGTTTGACCCAATCGTTTTCAATAGAAATTTGAAACAAAAATAACTAATCCATTCCTTTGTCTTGGTTATTTAAGGAGAGTTGGAGGCAAATCAAGGGGCTTGGGGACGCTAAAAAAAGGGAGAAACAGGAATAGAAAAATTACTATTTTCAAATGTTAATTCATCACGTGAATGTGTTTAAGCAGCTTGCTGATGTAGTAACATTGCTAAATGAGACACAGCAGGATAGCTGACGTATGGATTAGCTAAATGAAACACAGCAGTAACCGGGAAAGAGGAGACACTGCAGCTACGTTAAAAGTTTAAAAAAAAAAAAATGTTTAAAGACATTCATCGAGGGACAATTGTCCTTTCGGTCAACAGTTATGTCACTCTAATCAACAGTTATGATTCAGCTGTCATATGATCAAAATTGTTATACCGGTTTCGAATATAACAAATAAAATCAAACCATTGAACATAGGCGACCAAACACTTTCTTTTAAATATGTGGAATAAAATATTTATTTTCAGAATATTTAAAGGGAAGAATGTGTATCGGTTATGAAAAGAAAATGTAAAGGAAGTAAAGATTATAGGTGAGCGAACATAACTGAAGAAGAAAACGACTAAAGTTTGTTTCGGCAAAAAGCCTACCGTATTGAACAGCAAAAAAAAATAAATAATTAAAAATGAATGCTAACAAGAACTTATTTCTTTGGACTGTGAGGCATGCATGTAATGTCCGCGACAAATTTGCAACTAGATCTCAGTTGTAATACACTCAAAATAGCAAAACAATTAATGATTTGAATACATTTCTTCAAATAACAATGAAAACAAAAAACGACTTGCTTTCTTCTTTCAACAGATATCAACAAGGCATTTTGTCTCTTCGACCAGGACGGCAACGGCAAGATCAGCAGAAATGAAATCCGTGACGTCATCAAGGCCATAGGACGTCCGATGTCCGACAGGGAGATAGAGGAGATGATGGTCAACGCCGACATCGACGGTAGGGGCCCTTCAGACGTATCTGTAGATTTTTTTGGGGGGCTTGTTTGTTCACTGTGGTGTATGTTTGTAGTCTGTACGACGGCTCGTCTGTGTGGCAGGCTGTTTTCTTTTTCATATTGCGTTGGATTTGCATGATGGTGCGAGAGGTCACGGTGTTTTGTGATGTACAGCTGTCGCGGTGAGCCTTGCAACCCATGAGGGTTGTAGGTGGCCTCGGATATTTCAGGGGGCTCGGATATTTCAGGGGCCCAAAGTTGTCTTACTGTCGACTTCAAATGCAGGGGAACAAGACCGAACAAGAGGCAGGGACGTCAGGATCTCCCGCTAGTAGTAGAAATAAAAAAGGGCCGGCTGTGCTGGGCAGGACACTTGGAGATAATTTTGAATGACAGAGGAATGAAGAGAATGCACCAGGAAAATCTCAGAGGAAAACGGCTCAAAGGCAGACCTAGGCTTAGATGGATGGATGATGAGGAAACAGATCTACAATAACTGGGAATCCAAAAGATCTAAGTTGAAGGAAGTGGTGAGGCAGGCCAAAGCCATACACAGGCTGCAGCGCAATACGGATGGATGGATGCGTGTGTGGGTGGTGAGTGGGTGGATGGACACAGCTCAGGCGTAAAAAAAAAATGCTTCCCATTATTATAATTCAGAGACGATTTTGAAAAAAAAATGTAGTTTTACACAATACACAGACCATGACATGACGGTGAATGATAAGGTTACTTGATGCACGAATAACTTTACTTTACCTTTTGTGCCATTGGACATCCTCCCACGCCCCTCTCTCATTTTTATTGTTATGAGTTTATTGATCTGGCTTCGATCCCCCTTCTCTTCCTGTCTTTATCTGTATGTGGATTTCACGGAGTTTCCACTTCGTCAAATTTTAAATAACTCTAGTGTTTTTAATCAATACAACCGATTAATTGAATGCTTGGCTATAGAAGCAGGGTGCAGTTGTGTGTGGTTTTTTTTTTTTTTTACATCGTGTACGGGTATTTTGAGAATCAACCCGGTGTGTCCAAGTGGTTCTATCTACTGCAGTCTCACTAATGAATAATGTCACTGGTTATTTAATTGATTACCGTGTACATGGATTTTGAAATTCACTAGAGTCATTTTTTAAAAAAGCTACACAATTAGACGTAGTACCCGTTTTTTAGAAATAAAAGAATAACGGGAAGGAGAAAAAGAACGACAAGGAGAAGGAGAACGAGAACGAGAAGAAGAAGGAGGCTCTTCGAATATGAGTGCACTGACGAGCTCCAAACGCAGATGGCCCAGAAATTAAAATGCAAAATATCACGCGTTCAATGTAACACTGGATAGAGTTATCATTTATAATGTAACACTGGATAGAGTTATCATTTATAATTTCTATATAGGAGAGAATTGAACAGTTGCAAAAATTCAATAACACATGGGGATTTTAAATAACCTTAACAATTCGCCAGACAATGATAAGCTCCAAGTAGCATGCCAAGGTTTGGAGAACGAGTTAATGGATACAACAAAAATAGCAATATAAATAGATGTAGTCTGTTGACTGAACTAGAAATAGCCAAAGAATAATTTCCTTACGATGTAAATCATCCGATAGAAGTCGCTAAGTTCATATACACTAATAGGTTACAGAATGTGACGCGGAATTTGTGGTTAGCAATAAGAATAATGTTTACAGCCCCTATTACTGTAGCCGTTGGCGAGAGACGCTTTAATAAACTTAAGCGCATTAAAACATATTTACGATCATCCATGTCTCAAGAGAGAAGGAATTCTTTGGCAATGTTGTCTATGGCAAAATGACATTGCAAAAAATATTAATATAGAAAGTGCAATCAAAACATTTACTGATATAAGGGCTAGGAAACAATGCCATCGGTAGGCTAATTGTTCAGAGGCGTAGCCAAGGGGAGCAGGAGGGGACAGTTCGGTAGGCTAATTGTTCAGAGGCGTAGCCAAGGGGAGCAGGAGGGGACAGTTGTCCCCAGACGCCAGCTTGTTAGGGGCGCCAAAATGTGCTTAGATATTATTTCATTGATAAAAATAATGGTTTGAGAGTTTAAAAAAAAAAAAAAAAGGAAAAAGGGGCGCTTTAACATTAATCTTGTCCCTGGGCGCCAAACGCTTTAACTACGCCTCTGAATTGTTTATACTGTCCAATTTATAGGGGCGCTTTAACATTAATCTTGTCCCTGGGCGCCAAACGCTTTAACTACGCCTCTGAATTGTTTATACTGTCCAATTTAAGAAAAGCAATATTACTTTTCAGTTTTTTTTTTTTTTAAACAACCTAGGTAATAAACTCATTACTTAACCCCTAGTTTTTTCCGAGCACACATTTTTATGATTATAATTAAAAGGGTCTCCAAAGGTAAGCTTGCCAGGGGCTCCAGCAACCGTAGGACCTTTTCTGTCTCTGCATTCTATTCCACAAAAGTATATCATTAAAACTTGTATATGCATAATATCAACATCTTATGGTTTAACCATGCATTACAAGCAGTTTCTTAATTAATTTATTTATTCATTATTTATTTATTTAAATTCAGAAATATGAAAGCTGTGATTTTATTGCAAATAACATGAGCCCGGAAAAAGCATGATTCAACAAGTCTACCGGTAACTTCATTGAATGGCCAGAGGGACTTGGAATGTTGGAGCACACATACACTTGCATTGCATTCGTTCGGAGAGTGTATCAGCTGTTGTGGCTAGGCTTGGAATGTTGGAGCACACATACACTAGCATTGCATTAGTTCGGAGAGTGTATCAGCTGTTGCACGAGAACGCCCGGTTCCCATCGAAGAAAGCTAGTGGGGGGGGGGGGTCGTTATGGCCTTTGTTTTTTTTTTTGGTTTGCCCCATGGACAGAAGAATGACAAAAAAAAAAAAAAAAAAAAAATTGACATTTAATTTCTTTATTTAAATCGCACGTGTCATTTGTGAATATAGTTATTGTGTTTGTTAATGTGCCAAATATTTGTGAAGTATATTTAACAAATAATTAACAACAAAAAAAACCAAACAAATATAATAAGTGTACAACGATCATAAAAAGTTGTGTATCTCCAGCTTTTAAATGGTAACACCCAAAATGGGGACATATGGAACCCTTGTTTAGTGAGTGCACTTAGTGCATCTGAGATGGACCCTTGTTTAGTGAGTGCGCTTAGTGCATCTGAGGGTGTCATTGCTCGTCTCGTCCACAGGAAGTGGGTACATAGAATTCAACGAGTTTCTTCCCCTCATCGCCAACGAGTACAACGCCAAACAAGGGGTAGACAAGGAGGTCAGGGAAACCTTCAGGTCGTTCGATCAGAACGGGGACGGAGTTATCTCAGGTGGGTGCCATGCTGACGGAGTTATCTCAGGTGGGTGCCGTAATGACAGAGTTATCTCAGGTGGTTGCCATGTTGACGGAGTTATCTCAGGTGGGTGCCATGCTGATGGAGTTATCTCTGGTGGGTGTCATAATGACGGAGTTATCTCAGGTGGGTGCCATGCTGACGGAGTTATCTCAGGTTGTTGCCATGCTGACGGAGTTATCTCATGTGGGTGTCATAATGACGGAGTTATCTCAGGTGGGTGCCATGCTGACGGAGTTATCTCAGGTGGGTGTCATAATGACGGAGTTATCTCAGGTCAGTGCCATGCTGACGGAGTTATCTCAGGTGGGTGTCATAATGACGGAGTTATCTCAGGTCAGTGCCATGCTGACGGAGTTATCTCAGGTGGGTGTCATAATGACGGAGTTATCTCAGGTGGGTGTCATAATGACGGAGTTATCTCAGGTGGGTGTCATAATGACGGAGTTATCTCAGGTGGGTGCCATGCTGACGGAGTTATCTCAGGTGGGTGTCATAATGACGGAGTTATCTCAGGTGGGTGCCATGCTGACGGAGTTATCTCAGGTGGGTACCATGCTGACGGAGTTATCTCAGGTGGGGGACATACTGACTTGCTGTTGTAACTTTGCAGAGGGACAGACGTAGTAACATTTATTAAATTAACAATTGTTTTTTCTGTTTCGCTTTAAAGATCGCAAAAGGGCTTGCCTGTTTATGTCGCTTCTTTTTGGTGTCTATTTTCACCAACCTTTTTTTTTCTTCTAATTTGCGATTTTTTTTGGTTATAATATATTGATTGATTTGGGCATCACAGGCCACTTGCTCCGATAAGTAGCTCCAGGAAAACTTCAAAGCTAGTACACAGCTGAATCTTAAAGGTTATTTTATTGTAATAATACATTTCGGATATGGGTTGACCAGATATTTAGTGAAATTTCAAATCGGAGCGACAATATTTCAGCACAACTTTCGTTTTAAAAAGAGAGCTGTTAACAACAGTGCAGCAGTGTTTAGAAAATAAATCTCCACCTTTCATTTAAACTAACGCAAAAAATGGGGACTTAACAAAAAAAAACAACAACAAAAATTTCTCCTGGATTATTTTCTTATGAATAGAAACCCCCTTTCTTGGCACTGCATTTGCTTATAGGAAAGTCCCAGTGTGTTAGCCATTTTTGTTGGATTGGAAGGACTGATTTTCAGCCTTGATTTAGAAGACCTGCTCTGCCGAACATAGAAGCAGAGAGCTAGCTTTTGTGGCATTGGACGTTATGTTCAGCTAAACCACTATGTTAGCCAAGTCGGAGACCTATTCCCATATCAGGATTTCGGACAACTCTTCTCAGCTAAATTACAGACAGTCCAAAACAATTTGACATGTAAACATATCTGTAGAAATCCGTACGAACTTTATGATACCCGGGAAAAAAGGGAATATTCTTCTTAAGGGTTTAGGAACCAAAAAATCTGGAATTTTCAGCTTTATACAAGCTGTAGGATCACAAGCAGGAGAAACTTAAACACTTTTGACAATGCCAACAAACACACTTGTAGGATTCCGTGTCGTTAGTAATAGATATGAGACTTCAAAGACATGCAGCCTTACGCCAATAATATTGTTTAGCTCTATGATTTAACAATTTGAACTTAAAAACGTGTCCACAAACATGTGTGGACTACGTAAAAATTGTTAAGCTCTAAAATATTTGCCAGCTTTGATTTCATTGAGATGTCAACATTGATAATCTAGGTTAAGCCTATAAAATATTTTTTAAAAAAATAAATAAATAAACCAGGTTGAAAATGTTTACCTTAATACAATATACATATACATATATACAAACATTAGATATGTTTATATTATAAAAGAAAATGAGAAACTATGAACGGCATTCTGTTGTATCGCCATGACATTATAATAGTAAAGAGCAGTTTAGACTTTTATAACTCTTGGGACATTAAAATTTGTTCCTGCTTTGGAAATTGCTCTCGATTGCAGGCTAAATACTCGCTAGAATCTAGTTAAACCGTTTTAAAACGGATCTTGAGAAGGGTCTCCTGTCAGAAAGTCAATCTGGGTTCTATAAAGAACGCAGACATATTGATACGAGGTTTACGGGCGGACAGCTACAGAAACAAATGCAAGGATCAGAATGTTGAACTATTCTTCAAATTTGTTGACCATACCAAGGCTTTTGACACTGTTAGTATAGGAGGTCTTTGGAAGATCATGGGCAATATGGATGCTGCAGAACGTCATTTTTAAATGATGTTACAATTCCATGATGGTGTTTAGACCAGACTCTGGGAGAATGGGGAGACTTCTAAACCATACCCCGTGACAAACAGTGTCAAGCAAGGTTGTGTCCTGTCCCTAAAACTTTTCAGCCTTATGTTTTACGCCACGCTGCCGGATGCCTTCAGAGAGGGACGATTTCGGAATTGGTCTCAGATATCCAACTGACGGTAGGGCACTCCACCTCAAGGGGCTACTCAGATATCCAACTGACGGTAGGGCACTCCACCTCAAGGGGCTACTCAGATATCCAACTGATGGTAGGGCACTCCACCTCAAGGGGCTAAATGCCCCAAATCCAAGGCCCTGACAGACATCGTCAAGGACCTTCCTGTATGCTGACAATTATGCCCTAAGAACAGGAGCAAAAGCGGGCATCCGACATATAGTTATTATTTTCGCCAATGCCTACACAAACAATTTCAGTTTCACCATTAACACACACAAAAGAAAGAGCGACACACCAGCTTCTCGGTGTACTTAAGTTGAGCCCAACGTCTAAGCATATGGCGAAATGCTTAAAGTGGTCAATAGCTTCTCATACCTTGGCAGCACACTGTTCCAAATCACTACCATCCATGACGAGGTTAACCTTCCTATTGCAAGAGACAGTGCAACTTATTCCAAAATAGTCTAAGAACGTATAGACCAGGCGAGGCATCACCACTCAGACTAATATGAACTCACACAAGGTGGCTGTGCTTCGTATGCTTCTCTACATCTGTAGGACATGGAGGTCTACGTCTGTAAGACGTGGAGGTCTATCAACGCCATGCAAAAAATGTTGAACCACTTTCATACGACAAGCCTCAGGAAAATCCTAGACATAAAATGGCAGGACAGGGTCCCAGACACTGAGTTACTTGCACAGGCAGGTCTACCCAGAATATTGACCACTTTAATGCTTTAAGGACTTGCTGTGCGACTGTGACACGTGACACGAACGCTTGCCCAAAAGACTATTCTATGGTGACACTTTAATGCTTTAAGGACTTGCTGTGCGACTGTGACACGTGAAACGAACGCTTGCCCAAAAGACTATTCTATGGTGACACTTTAATGCTTTAAGGACTTGCTGTGCGACTGTGACACGTGACACGAACGCTTGCCCAAAAGACTATTCTATGGTGACACTTTAATGCTTTAAGGACTTGCTGTGCGACTGTGACACGTGACACGAACGCTTGCCCAAAAGACTATTCTATGGTGAGCTCGAGCACGGCAGGCGGTTTGTTGGTGGTCAGAAGAAACGCTTTAAAGACATCTGGGCACCCACAGCCAAGTTCACAGTTAGCATATGCCATGATTAAGATGGTCCAATTCGATTTCAACTGAAAAACCATAGACATATAGAGAGAAATTGTATGAATTCCACCAATATATAATTTGTATTTTACTATGAGACTTATTAGCAAAATTACCATACAATTTGCACGTCTGTCATTCTGACATATTAGCGAAATGACAATACCATTGGCCTGTCTGTTTCTCCGAGACATATTAGCGAGATGACTATATGAATAAAAGAACCCAAAGGAACAGAGCCAGTATGTGGTTTGGGCAAGGTGGTTGGCCAACAAGATCAAGGACCTAAATGATTTAAGCTCAGGGCAAAGAGGCTTCGTTTGTCACCGTCAACCTTCCCGGCAAAGAAGTTTTATACTATAATATTTATACTATAACCATGAACCCCTTTCCAGAGTGCGTGTCCAGTTCATACGAATCCAGGCCAAGGCCGTCATCCAGATAAGGTTAAGGAGCATAACATAAAATTATGTAACAAAGTCTTACGAGCAATAGGGCTCACACTAATGTAACAGAGAATCATGACGTCACTGATCAATGGTTCCCACAAGGAGTTATTTTTTGTTGATTTTTTTATAAGACCTTTTTTCTCCAATCGATTCCTCTCGCGCTAATGAGGTCAGCCAATCAGCCATCAAGAACATTAGAATAAGTGCTGTCGTACACGAGCTGCCAGTGAGGCACATTACAAATGTAGGTCAGCGTTTTGGCCTTTTCTCATGCGTCGGCAGAAACGGTCAATTTGCTTCTCTTTGCGTCACTCAACCATGAAATGGCCCCCAAAAATTTTATTAAGTAGAATTTTTTTTTTTAGTTTGATATGCTAACCCATAAAGTAATGTAGTGTTGCCTTATTCTTGATCACAGCCAGGGAGTTCCGCTGTGCCGTGGCAAAGATGGGCCAAAATTTAACAGACGCCGAGGTGGCTGAATTCATGAGAAGTGTGGACAAAGATGGGGACGGCGTCATCGGCTATGAAGGTGACTTATGATGATCTCACATCCGGTGTGGGTCATTTTATAATAAATAAGGGATATCTCATGTTTATGCAGTCATTAAAAGTTAGGGCCAATATCTCATTCGCTTTAATTAGGTACCATATCTCATTTGATGTCGTTGGGGCCTATATCTCATTTGATATAATTAGGGCCTATATCTCATTTGATATGAGGGCCGATATCTCATTTGATATAATTAAGTCCAATATTTCATGTGATATTATTATGGCCAATGTCTCATTTGATGTAATTAGTTCCGATTTCTGGTGTTATGCGTTCATTCATATGTAGGATCTAATATTGCGGTTGTGGGGGTACCCACCCCTTGCGCCATTTTCTAAGAGATCCAAAATCGACATTTTTGTTCCCCTTTCATTTGTATTAGTGTATTACTTTTTTTTCGGGGGGGGGGGGTGGGGGTGGGGGGCCGCCTAATTTTAGGCTTACCCCGAGCACAGTTTTGCTTCGTTACGGCCCTCTCACGTCTGATAAAGTTTAATCTAATTTATGGTAAGCGCATGTGTTGCGCCCGGGGTCGTCAAATGAAGTGGTTTTTTTTTAGGCCCAATGTTGCACAATGTAGTGGGTGGGGGTGGGGGTGGGGGGTCGCCTAATTTTAGGCTTACCCCGAGCACAGTTTTGCTTCGTTACGGCCCTCTCACGTCTGATAAAGTTTAATCTAATTTATGGTAAGCGCATGTGTTGCGCCCGGTGTCGTCAAATGAAGTGGTTTTTTTTTAGGACCAATGTTGCACAATGTAGCGTCATGTCGGAATCCCTCCATTAAAACGTTGTCTCTACAATTAAAATATGATCACATCTGTCGTGGCGAAACCGCATTATAATCTTTAAGTTAGAGTTCATTATGCAGCTATCGTGCAATTGGGGCAGACAAACCAATACTGACACAAATAATTTTTTTTTGGGTGTTTTTCCCATTTAGATAAGTAAATCAATTAACACATTATTTATGTTTTGGAATATCATGTGTTTCATAAATAAGTTTATTTATCCCAGGGCATTTAAAAAAAATAAATGATTTAATCCCCTACGGGGAGATTCGTTTGCATGTTATACACGCGACCAGCTCACTAACTTTTTTTTTCTTTCTGATTGTTCTAGAGTTTGCCAAATACGTCATCTCCAACATGTGACCTCACCAACACCCCAGCGAAATAGGTCATCTCCAATACGTGACCCCCACCAACACCCCAGCGGAATACGTCATCGCCAACATGTGACCCCCACCAACACCCCAGCCAAATACGTCATTTCCAACATGTGCCCCCCCCCTCCACCATCACTCCTCCGACTCCTTACATCCACCAAGATGAAAGCCCATTCAACCATATTAACATTTTTAAGCCCATATCAGATGTACAGCCGTCTCCAACGACAACAACTGTAGCGCGCGTCAAACATCAATGGATCTCACTCTGTGAGCCAGGACAACTCGTTAGGTGGCTCGTGCTAACTACTCATAGCCGTGGCTGCAGTGACACTGTTTTAGTTTCTGTGATAGATCTTCTGTTAAAGACAAACTTCAACGACAACAGACATTTCGAACGACATATCTTTATCTAAGACTTACACCCCTGATTTCAGGTTGGTTTTTGGGTGTCAGTAAAGAAAAAAAAAAGATTATGAGAAAATCGATTTTGACTTATTGGTTTTATTTGATTAAATATGTTTGCAAAGGTTTAATCCAAACTTTTATAAGTAGCCCCCCCCCCCCTCCTTTAACCCACTGCGCCACCCTAACCCTACCCCCCCCTTAACCCACTACGCCCCCTAACCCTATTCCCAACTTCTTTAAGTAGCCCTCCTCCACCCCAATCCGCCCCTCTAGCCCCAGGGGGCTCCCCTTGACTCGATGCCCTTCACGTGTGGACTCTCACTCGGACGCCACCCATCACGAACATCTTTTATATAATCCAGCAGTCGAGCTTCTACTACTGCCACATGTGATGGCGGGACTGATGGTCCAGGATTGGCGTCATAAGTCACTCTTAGGGGGTTCAGTTTCAAACAGAAGCCGCACCACTCGAGGGCGGATGCCAATACACATACCAAAAGTGCTGCACCCTGGGTGGTCCACTCTCTGCACCATTCACTGTACACCACTGTCTCCCGCACCATTCACTGTACACCACTGTCTCCTCAACAAAAAACCAAAATGTGTTAATTTGAATTGCATTTTTGGGAACATACTTTTTTTCTGCAAGTAGTCTACACCTACTTGTTTCGACCTTATCTACTTGTTTCAACCTTATCTACTTGTTTCGACCTTATCTACTTGTTTCGACCTTATCTACTTGTTTCGACCTTATCTACTTGTTTCGACCTTATCTACTTGTTTCGACCTTATCTACTTGTTTCAACCTTATCTACTTGTTTCGACCTTATCTACTTGTTTCGATCTTATCTACTTGTTTCGACCTTATCTACTTGTTTCGACCTTATCTACTTGTTTCGACCTTATCTACTTGTTTCGACCTTATCTACTTGTTTCGACCTTATCTACTTGTTTCGACCTTATCTACTTGTTTC